GGCGGGCGCGTAGGGCGGGGGTAGGGACGCGACGGCAGGCAGGCGCGACGCGACGGGCGTTTAGGGCAGCGGGGGGAGGGCGCGTCGCGACGAGTAGCGGGGGAGGGCACGACGGGACGACGGGCGGGGAGAGCGCGACGCGACGGGGGCCGGGGAAGGCGCGATTCAACGGGCAGCGAAGGGGGGAAAACGCGACTCGACGAGCAGCGGGGGGGGAAACGCGACTTGACGGGCAGCAGAGGGGGGGAAACGCGACGGGCAGCAGGGGAGAGGGGGGGGAGAAGGTCGCTACGCTACGAGAGCAGTGGATCGGCGGAACGAGCGGTAACGAACGAACGCGACTAGAGCGGGCCGGCGAGAGGCTCGGGCAAGACGAACGAGGTCGGGAGGAGCGGGATCCCACAGGATCCGAACCTAGGTGATACCATGTTAAGAAAGGAAGTGATGATGTCATTGATGTGAGTTGGGGTACATATTGTTGCGATCAGAAGTTGATCGTGGCCTAGGATCTACTCAGGAAGGTTCGCACGCAGAGAAGTGATGTTGGTGGGCCCTTGACCTCATTAGCAGAGTGAATGTAAAATGCTTTGAGATAATAATAAAAAAAACGTGCGGTACAAGGAATATAAATATGAGTACAGGGGAATTCGAAACGACCTAACTAGCCATGTACTCTAAGGGGTACATTCCCTTATTGCAGCGAAATCCAACCGTGCGACTCCGAGTGGTTACGTAATTGTTCAGGCAGAATCCTCGCCACTGCTGCTGCCTGATGCTGTCTGCCCGACGGTCCAGATGCTCCTCGTAACCGTCTGTCCCTTCGCCTTTCTTCTGCCTTTTCGTCTTCACTCTCGATAGTGCGTGCTTCGGCTTTGCTACGGTGAGGAGTGCACAGTAATATTCAAGTATTACTATTCGTAACACCCCCCTTCACTCCTGGCCGTAGCTCGACTTGACCTGCTTGACCACGCCGCTGAGTTCGGAGTAGTGCTGATACTGCTGGCGTGGCAGTCGCTTCGTGAGAAAGTCTGCTGCCATGTCACCGGTCGGGCAGTAGGTCACGTTGACCTTGCCTTTGTCCACCTCATCCTTCACGAAGAAGTACCGTAGCGCAATGTGCTTGGTGCGGTTGACGAAGCCAGGTTTGTTCGCGATGCGAATTGCGCTCTGGTTGTCGCAGTGAAGGCGAAATGTGGGCGAAGCTGGAATCTTTGCCTCTTGCAGGAGTTCCTGCAAGTAGAGGCCTTCGCGAACTGCTGCGGTTGCTGCGATGAATTCCGCTTCGGCTGACGACAGGGCAACCAGCTCCTGCTTCTGCGAGTTCCAGGAGATTGGTCCCGTTGGCTCGAGTCGGAAAAGGAAGCCAGTCCTGGACCGTCGATTATTGGGGTCTGCTGCGTGATCGGCGTCCACATAGCCGATGAGGTTGAAGGATGGAGTTGGTGTAGTTGAGTAGCACAGCCCAATCTTGGGCGTTGAAACGAAGAACTGGAGGGCGCGCTGCAGATCCAGAAGATTCTCAGCCGTTGGTTTGCGTGAATACTGCGCCAGCTGACTGGCGATGTACGAGAGGTCTGGCCTGCAGGTGACAGAGGCGAAGAGGAGGCATCCTTACTGCTGCTGGTAAGTCTGAATCCCAGCAGGGGATAGGGGTTTGTTGTCGGGTTTGTGGTTCGGTCCGGGAGTTCGGTAGGGAGTTGAGAGAGGTGCAGGTGAAATGTTTAACCGCTTCCCTAACTCCTCTGCGTACTTAGCCGCTGAGAGATGAATGGCCTCAGGCGCGTAGGAGATGTGGAGGCCTAGAAACTGCTTCACCTCGTAGTTGCACGTGATGTCGACGCGCCCCGCCAAAGCCTTCTCGAACTGCTCGAGAAGCTTGTTGTTTGAGCCTGTGTAAAGCAGGTCGTCGACGTACACCGTGAGGAGAATGTATTTCCCACGGAATTCGCGACGATACATCCCTGGATCGTGCGGCATCTACTTGAATCCGATTTCAAGCAGGATGTTGTGCAGGTACTGCTGCCACAGCCTCGGAGCCTGTTTGATCCCATAGAGTGACTTTCGCAGTTGGCACACGCGCGAGTCCCCTCCGCCGTAGGTGTGCGGCTGTTCCACGTAGATCACGGCATCCACTAACGCGTACAAGAACGCGTTCTTCACGCCGATCTGGCGGAGTGGTAGGTGCCTTGCAGCTCCAATGGCGAGCAGGATTCGAACGGAGGTATGGCGGCTAACTGGGGCGAACGTCTGGTCGAAGTCGATGCCATGCCTCTGATCGTAGCCGCGAACCACCCAACGTGCCTTGAAGCGCTCGATCGTTCCGTCCGCTGCGGTTTTCACGCGGAAGACCCACTTCCCCGAGAGGATTCTTGCGCCTTTGATCGCCGCGCGGTCGACTAGCACCCAGGTGTCTCGTGACTCCAGCGCCTTGATCTCTGCGTCCATTGCTTCGCGCCATTCCTTGCTGTGTGGTCCAGAAAGAGCTTCGCGCGGATTTCGGGGCTCGATGACACGTGGCGCCTTCGAAGTTGCGGTGTGAAGCCCGAGCAGCTGCAGTCCTGAGATAGTGCTGTCGTGGTGACGTTGCGGGATGACTTCCTGTACGTCGTCGTCATCGCTTTCTGGTTCAGGAGGCGCTGGTGGTGCTGTGCCTCTGCCGCTTCTGCCTGTTCCGCTTCCGCCTGCTGCGCCCATTCCTCCTCCCGAGGAATCGTCGTCGTCGTCGTAGTCGTTGCTGCGTCGTTCTTCCCACATGAACTCGCCCCTCGTGTCCTGCTCCAAGATTGCTGCAGCGGCTTCGTCTTCGTGCGTTGCGTAGCTGTGCCCATCGTTCGCATAGACGCGGTTCGCGTTCGTTTCTTCGTCGCGGCGGAACTGGTCGAGGAAGAAGCGCTCGTAGAAGATGACTTCGCGAGTGTGAGCGATTTTCTGACTGAGGAGGTCCAGCACGATCCATGCCTTGAACTCGTGACTGATGCCGAGATGGATCCCCCAGCGCGCGCGGCTGGCGAATTTGCCGATGGTTGAAGTCGGCGGGCGGTATTGAACCATGCACCCCCATACGCGCAGCATGGAGGTATCCCCTTTGGTCCCGGTCCATTTGACGTGCGGGGACAGATTGCCGGTGATGGCGGTGGTTGAAAGTAGGTTGTGCACCCGCACGGCGTGGTGCATTGCGTAGGTCCAGTAGATCGACGGCAATTTCGACTGCTTCACCAGCGCGCGCACCTTCGTCATTAGCGTGCGGTTCGTCCGCTCAGCTACGCCCTGCTGCTGGTGCGTGTAGGGGAGAGAAATGTGGTGCTCGATCCCCTTTTGCGTGAGGTAGGTTTGCATCTGGTTGCTCCTGAATTCTGCCGCGCCGTCAGATTGCCAAATTTTCAGCTTCTTCCCAGACTGTCGCTCTGCGTGCGCCAGCCAGAGGCAAAACACCTCGTAGGCTCTCTCACGTGACTCCACGTTCATGACCCATACGTAGCGCGTTCCAGCGTCGATGAAGGTGAGCGTGTACATTTCGTCCTCGACTCCGCAATGCCCCACATTCAGGAAATCGCTGTACACCTTGTGCAGCTTGGGGTAGCGGTTCGTTCCAGGTTCGAGCAGCGGGAACGGTTGGTGGCTCAGCGCAGCTTCGGGGCAGACGGTGCAGTTGCGCGGATATGTCGCGCCTCTCACTTCGGAGCCATCAGGGCGCAGGAGTGCGCCAGGAGCGAAGACGCCTGCGTCGATGCAGTTTTTCAGCGTCGCGCGTGAAGGGTGTCCGAGGCGCTGGTGCCAGAGAGTAATGTCAGCGCGAAAGCCGGAGGTGCGAATGTAGCGCGCGCGCGCTTCCTCAGGGTCTTCGTCAGGTACAGGAGCAGGTTCTGCTGCTACTCCCTCTGCTTCTTCTTCTTCCGGCGTGGTGGTCAGCATCAGCGCCAAGAACTCTCTGTCACGAATCTCAGAGAGCAGAATGTTGGTCCCGGGGATGGTTCTAGGGATGAAGGTGGGTTCGCGTGGCTCAGGGGCAGGTCCGTAGACGGTGCGACGCGGGGTTGACGGCTCGTTGCCCCAGATGATGGTGTCCCATGGATCACGACGTGGGGGGTTGTCAGGAGGAGGTGGTGCGAGTGGAATGTGACACGGGGGACGACCAAGAGGAACGACTAAAGGTGTTGCCTCAGTTTCCTCAGCTTCATCCTCTCCCCCCTTTCGTTCTTCGCGGAAAGTACCCCTGCCGCTATTGTCGGCGCTAGTTGCGGCACCCCATCCGTCGCTCGCGTTGGCCCAGGTTCCGCCGTTGTCTCCCTTGCCGCTAGTGTCACTTGTTCCCCATCCTCCAGCGCTCCCCCACCCCCCTTCATTGGAGGCACTTTCTTCAGCCTCAGCTCCCCAGGTGGCGCAAGCGAAGGTCCCATGTGCTTCTGCGAGGCTTTGCTGGCGAAGCTCCTTAGCTTCGAGGCGCGCCAATTCTTCCTCTTGCTCGGCGGTGAGTTTTTTCGATGAGTCGCGTCGATGAGAGTAGATGGCCAGAAACCTCTCGTAGGTGTAGGGTCCCAGCTCGCCATGGGAATCAAAGGTGCCTACGCCAGTTCCGCGCGGCATGCCTTGAAGGTGCTGTGAGGGGGGACCGATGAGGGGATGCTCTGGTGTGCCGAAAATGCCGTGGGTAGTAACTTCAAGCTCGAGCTGCGACATCCCTTCCTCTAGGGGCGTGTGGCGCTCTGCTTCAGCGATGGCGGCAAGTCCGCGGCCGACAATCGCGCTCGTTGATGTCGTCAGCGTGTAACAATCCCTGCAGATGCCGTCTGGATCGGGGTTGTGTAACGCCGTTTCGCGTGGGTGGGGATGATGCGGCACCCACGGTCTGCCGTCACGGTGCTTCCAATCAACGGTGGATGTGCTCGAAGCACAGTGGCACGAGATCAATCAACTCGTGCGAGTCGCCGCTGAAGTCGGGAATGTCGAAATCTAGGACATACACTCCATTTTCGGAGTGCGCTCGTCCGATCTGCCTGGGTTTAGGACGTCCACATCCCATCCACGTCCACGTCCACGTCCACGACCACGTCCACGTCCACGTCCACGTCCACGACCACGTCCACGTCCACGTCCACGACCACGTCCACGTCCACGACCACGTCCACGTCCACGTCCACGTCCACGTCCACGACCACGTCCACGTCCACGTCCACGTCCACGTCAACGTCCACGTCCACGTCCACGTCCACGACCACGTCCACGTCCACGACCACATCCACGTCCACGTCCACGTCCACGTCCTCCACGTCCACGTCCTCCACGTCCTCGCCACGTCCTCCACGTCCACGTCCACGTCCAAGTCCTCGTCCACGTTCACGTCCACGTCCACGACCATGTCCACGTCCACGTCCACGTCCACGACCACGTCCACGTCCACGTCCACGTCCAGGGCCATGTCCACGTCCACGTCCACGTCCACGTCCAAGTCCACGTCCACGTCCACGTCCACGTCCTCGTCAACGTCCACGACCACGTCCACGTCCACGTCCACGACCACGTCCACGTCCACCTCCACGTCCACGTCGACGTCGACGTCCACGTCCACGTCCTCCACGTCCACGTCCACGTCCTCCACGTCCATGTCCACGTCCACGTCCACGTCCACGTCCACGACCACGTCCACGACCACGTCCACGTCCAGGTCCACGTCTACGTCCACGTCCACGACCACGTCCACGTCCACGTCTACGACCACGTCCACGACCACTTCCACGTCCACGTCCACGTCCACTTCCTCCACGTCCACGTCCTCCACGTCCACGTCCAAGTCCACGTCCACGTCCACGACCACGTCCACGTCCACGTCCACGACCACGTCCACGTCCACGTCCACGGCCAGGGCCACGTCCACGTCCACGTCCACGTCCACGTCCACGTCCACGTCCACGTCCATGTCCATGTCCACGTCCAAGTCCACGTCCTCGTCCACGTCCACGTCCACGTCCACGTCCATGTCCAAAGCCAGGTCCACGTCCACGTCCACGGCCACGTCCACGTCCACGTCCACGTTCAAGTCCACGTCCACGTCCACGTCCACATCCACGACAACGTCCACGTCCACGTCCACGTCAACGTCCACGTCCTCCACGTCCACGTCCACGTCCTCCATGTCCACGTCCATGTCCACGTCCACGTCCACGTCCACGTCCACGTCCACGTCCATGTCCACGTCCAGGACCACGTCCACGTCCACGTCCACGTCCACGTCCACGACCACGTCCACGTCCACGTCCACTTCCACGACCACGTCCACGTCCACGTCCACGTCCACGTCCACGTACACGTCCACGTCCACGTCCACGTCCACGTCCACGTCCAGGCCACGTCCACGTCCACGTCCACGTCCACGTTCTCCACGTCCAGGCCACGTCCACGTCCACGTCCACGTCCACGTCCACATCTACGACCACGTCCACGTCCACGTCCACGTCCTCCACGTCCACGTCCACGTCCTCGTCCACGTCCACGTCCAAGTCCACGTCCACGTCCACGTCCACGACCACGTCCACGTCCACGTCCACGTCCACGTCCACGACCACGTCCACGTCCACGTCCACGTCCACGACCACGTCCACGTCCACGACCACGTCCACGTCCACGTCCACGTCCACGACCACGTCCACGTCCACGTCCACGTCCACGTCCACGTCCACGTCCACGTCCACGACCACGTCCACGTCCACGTCCACGACCACGTCCACGTCCACGTCCACGTCCACGTCCACGTCCACGTCCTCCACGTCCACGTCCTCCACGTCCTTGCCACGTCCTCCACGTCCACGTCCACGTCCAAGTCCACGTCCACGTTCACGTCCACGTCCACGACCACGTCCACGTCCACGTCCACGTCCACGTCCATGACCACGTCCACGTCCACGTCCACGACCACGTCCACGTCCACGACCACGTCCACGTCCACGTCCACGTCCACGACCACGTCCACGTCCACGTCCACGTCCACGTCCACGTCCACGTCCACGACCACGTTCACGTCCACGTCCACGACCACGTCCACGTCCACGTCCTCCACGTCCACGTCCTCCACGTCCTTGCCACGTCCTCCACGTCCACGTCCACGTCCAAGTCCACGTCCACGTTCACGTCCACGTCCACGACCACGTCCACGTCCACGTCTACGTCCAGGGCCACGTCCACGTCCACGTCCACGTCCACGTCCAAGTCCACGTCCACGTCCACGTCCACGTCCTCGTCCACGTCCACGACCACGACCACGTCCACGTCCACGTCCACGACCACGTCCACGTCGACCTCCACGTCCACGTCGACGTCGACGTCCACGTCCACGTCCTCCACGTCCACGTCCACGTCCTCCACGTCCATGTCCACGTCCACGTCCACGTCCACGACCACGTCCACGTCCACGACCACGTCCACGTCCACGTCCACGTCCACGTCCACGTCCACGTCCACGTCCACGACCATGTCCACGTCCACGTCCACGACCACGTCCACGTCCACGACCACTTCCACGTCCACGTCCACGTCCACGTCCTCCACGTCCACGTCCTCCACGTCCACGTCGAAGTCCACGTCCACGTCCACGTCCACGACCACGTCCACGTCCACGTCCACGTCCACGTCCACGACCACGTCCACGTCCACGTCCACGTCCACGGCCAGGTCCACGTCCACGTCCACGTCCACGTCCACGTCCTCGTCCACGTCCACGTCCACGTCCACGTCCATGTCCAAAGTTAGGTCCACGTCCACGTCCACGGCCACGTCCACGTCCACGTCCACGTCCACGTTCAAGTCCACGTCCACGTCCACGTCCACGTCTACGACAACGTCCACGTACACGTCCACGTCCACGTCCACGTCCACGTCCACGTCCACGTTCTCCACGTCCAGGCCACGTCCACGTCCACGTCCACGTTCTCCACGTCCAGGCCACGTCCACGTCCACGTCCACGTCTACGTCCACGTCCACGACCACGTCCACGTCCACGTCCACGTCTACGACCACGTCCACGTCCACGTCCACGTCCACGACCACGTCCACGTCCACGTCCACGTCCATGTCCACGACCACGTCCACGTCCACGTCCACGACCACGTCCACGTCCACGTCCACGTCCACGTCCACGTCCACGACCACGTCCACGTCCACGTCCACGACCACGTCCACGTCCACGACCACGTCCACGTCCACGTCCTCCACGTCCACGTCCTCCACGTCCTTGCCACGTCCTCCACGTCCACGTCCACGTCCAAGTCCACGTCCATGTTCACGTCCACGTCCACGACCACGTCCACGTCCACGTCCACGACCACGTCCACGTCCACGTCCACGTCCAGGGCCATGTCCACGTCCACGTCCACGTCCACGCCCAAGTCCACATCCACGTCCACGTCCTCGTCCACGTCCACGACCACGACCACGTCCACGTCCACGTCCACGTCCACGTCCACGACCACGTCGACGTCCACCTCCACGTCCACGTCCACGTCCTCCACGTCCACGTCCTCCACGTCCATGTCCACGTCCACGTCCACGTCCACGACCACGTCCACGTCCACGACCAAGTCCACGTCCACGTCCACGTCTACGTCCACGTCCACGTCCACGACCACGTCCACGTCCACGTCTACGACCACGTCCACGTCCACGACCACTTCCACGTCCACGTCCACGTCCACGTCCTCCACGTCCACGTCCTCCACGTCCACGTCCAAGTCCACGTCCACGTCCACATCCACGACCACGTCCACGTCCACGTCCACGTCCACGTCCACGTCCACGTCCACGACCACGTCCACGTCCACGTCCACTTCCACGACCACGTCCACGTCCACGTCCACGTCTACGTCCACGTACACGTCCACGTCCACGTCCACGTCCACGTCCACGTTCTCCACGTCCAGGCCACGTCCACGTCCACGTCCACGTCCACGTTCACGTCCACGTTCTCCACGTCCACGTCCACGTCCACGTTCTCCACGTCCACGTCCACGTTCTCCACGTCCAGGCCACGTCCACGTCCACGTCCACGTCCACGACCACGTCCACGTCCACGTCTACGACCACGTCCACGTCCACGTCCACGTCCACGTCCACGTCCACGTCCTCCACGTCCACGTCCACGTCCACGTCCTCGTCCACGTCCACGTCAAAGTCCACGTCCACGTCCACGTCCACGTCCACGACCACGTCAACGTCCACGTCCACGTCCACGTCCACGTCCACGTCCACGTCCACGACCACGTCCACGTCCACGTCCACGTCCACGTCCAGGTCCACGTCCACGTCCACGTCCACGTCCACGACCACGTCCACGTCTACGACCACGTCCACGTCCACGACCACATCCACGTCCACGTCCACGTCCACGTCCTCCACGTCCACGTCCTCCTCGTCCACGTCCTCCACGTCCACGTCCACGTCCACCTCCACGTCCAAGTCCACGTCCACGTCCACGTCTGCGTCCACGACCACGTCCACGTCCACGTCCACGTCCACGACCACGTCCACGTCCACGTCCACGGCCAGGTCCACGTCCACGTCCAGGGCCAGGTCCACGTCCACGTCCATGTCCACGTCCACGTCCACGTCCAAGTCCACGTCCTCGTCCACGTCCACGTCCTCGACCACGACCACGTCCACGTCCACGTCCACGGCCACATCCACGTCCACGTCCACGTCCACGTCCAAGTCCACGTCCACGTCCACGTCCACGTCCACGTCCACGTGCACGACCACGTCCACGTTCAAGTCCAAGTCCCCGTCCACGTCCACGTCCAAGTCCCCGTCCACGTCCACGTCCACGTCCAAGTCCACGTCCACGTCCACGTCCGCGTCCACGACCACGTCCACGTCCTCCACGTCCACGTCCTCCACGTCCACGTCTACGTCCACGACCACGTCCACGTCCTCCACGTCCACGTCCTCCACGTCCACGTCCACGTCCACGTCCACGTCCACGTCCACGTCCACGTCCACATCCACGTCCACGACCATGTCCACATCCACGTCCAAGTCCACGTCCACGTCCACGTCCACGTCCACGTCCAAGTCCACGTCCACGTCCACGTCCACGTCCACGTCCATGTGCACGACCACGTCCACGTTCAAGTCCAAGTCCCCGTCCACGTCCACGTCCAAGTCCACGTCCTCGTCCACGTCCAAGTCCACGTCCACGTCCACGTCCACGACCACGTCCACGTCCTCCACGTCCACGTCCTCCACGTCCACGTCCTCGTCCACGTCCACGTCCACGTCCACGTCCACGTCCACGTCCACGTCCACGTCCTCGTCCACATCCACGTCCACGTCCATGTCCAAAGCCAGGTCCACGTCCACGTCCACGGCCACGTCCACGTCCACGTCCACGTCCACGTTCAAGTCCACGTCCACGTGCACGTCTACGACAACGTCCACGTGCACGTCCACGTCCACGACCACGTCCACGTCCACATCCACGACCACGTCCACGTCCACGTCCACGTCCACGTCCAAGTCCACGTCCACGTCCACGTCCACGTCCAAGTCCACGTCCACGTCCACGTCCACGTCCACGTCCATGTGCACGACCACGTCCACGTTCAAGTCCAAGTCCCCGTCCACGTCCACGTCCAAGTCCACGTCCTCGTCCACGTCCAAGTCCACGTCCACGTCCACGTCCACGACCACGTCCACGTCCTCCACGTCCACGTCCTCCACGTCCACGTCCTCGTCCACGTCCACGTCCACGTCCACGTCCACGTCCACGTCCACGTCCACGTCCTCGTCCACATCCACGTCCACGTCCATGTCCAAAGCCAGGTCCACGTCCACGTCCACGGCCACGTCCACGTCCACGTCCACGTCCACGTTCAAGTCCACGTCCACGTGCACGTCTACGACAACGTCCACGTGCACGTCCACGTCCACGACCACGTCCACGTCCACATCCACGACCACGTCCACGTCCACGACCACGTCCACGTCCACGTCCACGTCTACGTCCACGTACACGTCCACGTCCACGTCCACGTCCACGTCCACGTTCTCCACGTCCAGGCCACGTCCACGTCCACGTCCACGTCCACGTTCACGTCCACGTTCTCCACGTCCACGTCCACGTTCTCCACGTCCACGTCCACGTTCTCCACGTCCAGGCCACGTCCACGTCCACGTCCACGTCCACGACCACGTCCACGTCCACGTCTACGACCACGTCCACGTCCACGTCCACGTCCACGTCCACGTCCATGTCCTCCACGTCCACGTCCACGTCCACGTCCTCGTCCACGTCCACGTCAAAGTCCACGTCCACGTCCACGTCCACGTCCACGACCACGTCAACGTCCACGTCCACGTCCACGTCCACGTCCACGTCCACGTCCACGACCACGTCCACGTCCACGTCCACGTCCACGTCCAGGTCCACGTCCACGTCCACGTCCACGTCCACGACCACGTCCACGTCTACGACCACGTCCACGTCCACGACCACATCCACGTCCACGTCCACGTCCACGTCCTCCACGTCCACGTCCTCCTCGTCCACGTCCTCCACGTCCACGTCCACGTCCACCTCCACGTCCAAGTCCACGTCCACGTCCACGTCTGCGTCCACGACCACGTCCACGTCCACGTCCACGTCCACGACCACGTCCACGTCCACGTCCACGTCCACGGCCAGGTCCACGTCCACGTCCAGGGCCAGGTCCACGTCCACGTCCATGTCCACGTCCACGTCCACGTCCAAGTCCACGTCCTCGTCCACGTCCACGTCCTCGACCACGACCACGTCCACGTCCACGTCCACGGCCACATCCACGTCCACGTCCACGTCCACGTCCACGTCCAAGTCCACGTCCACGTCCACGTCCACGTCCACGTCCACGTGCACGACCACGTCCACGTTCAAGTCCAAGTCCCCGTCCACGTCCACGTCCAAGTCCCCGTCCACGTCCACGTCCACGTCCAAGTCCACGTCCACGTCCACGTCCGCGTCCACGACCACGTCCACGTCCTCCACGTCCACGTCCTCCACGTCCACGTCCACGTCCACGTCCACGTCCACGACCACGTCCACGTCCTCCACGTCCACGTCCTCCACGTCCACGTCCTCGTCCACGTCCACGTCCACGTCCACGTCCACGTCCACGTCCACGTCCACGTCCACGTCCACGTCCTCGTCCACATCCACGTCCACGTCCACGTCCATGTCCAAAGCCAGGTCCACGTCCACGTCCACGGCCACGTCCACGTCCACGTCCACGTCCACGTTCAAGTCCACGTCCACGTCCACGTCTACGACAACGTCCACGTACACGTCCACGTCCACGTCCACGTCCACGTCCACGTTCTCCACGTCCAGGCCACGTCCACGTCCACGTCCACGTTCTCGACGTCCAGGCCACGTCCACGTCCACGTCCACGTCCACGACCACGTCCACGTCCACGTCTACGACCACGTCCACGTCCACGTCCACGTCCACGACCACGTCCACGTCCACGTCCATGTCCACGACCACGTCCACGTCCACGACCACGTCCACGTCCACGTCCACGTCCACGTCCACGACCACGTCCACGTCCACGTCCACGACCACGTCCACGTCCACGACCACTTCCACGTCCACGTCCTCCACGTCCACGTCCTCCACGTCCTTGCCACGTCCTCCATGTCCACGTCCACGTCCAAGTCCACGTCCATGTTCACGTCCACGTCCACGACCACGACCACGTCCACGTCCACGTCCACGTCCACGACCACGTCCACGTCCACGTCCAGGGCCATGTCCACGTCCACGTCCACGTTCACGTCCAAGTCCACATCCACGTCCACGTCCTCGTCCACGTCCACGACCACGACCACGTCCACGTCCACGTCCACGTCCACGACCACGTCGACGTCCACCTCCACGTCCACGTCGACGTCGACGTCCACGTCCACGTCCTCCACGTCCACGTCCACGTCCTCCACGTCCATGTCCATGTCCACGTCCACGACCACGTCCACGTCCACGACCACGTCCACTTCCACGTCCACGTCTACGTCCACGTCCACGTCCACGACCACGTCCACGTCTACGACCACGTCCACGTCCACGACCACGTCCACGTCCACGACCACTTCCACGTCCACGTCCACGTCCACGTCCTCCACGTCCACGTCCTCCACGTCCACGTCCAAGTCCACGTCCACGTCCACATCCACGACCACGTCCACGTCCACGTCCACGTCCACGTCCACGACCACGTCCACGTCCACGTCCACTTCCACGACCACGTCCACGTCCACGTCCACGTCTACGTCCACGTACACGTCCACGTCCACGTCCACGTCCACGTTCTCCACGTCCAGGCCACGTCCACGTCCACGTCCACGTCCACGTTCACGTCCACGTTCTCCACGTCCACGTCCACGTCCACGTTCTCCACGTCCACGTCCACGTTCTCCACGTCCAGGCCACGTCCACGTCCACGTCCACGTCCACGACCATGTCCACGTCCACGTCTACGACCACGTCCACGTCCACGTCCACGTCCACGTCCACGTCCACGTCCTCCACGTCCACGTCCACGTCCACGTCCTCGTCCACGTCCACGTCAAAGTCCACGTCCACGTCCACGTCCACGTCCACGACCACGTCAACGTCCACGTCCACGTCCACGTCCACGTCCACGTCCACGTCCACGACCACGTCCACGTCCACGTCCACGTCCACGTCCAGGTCCACGTCCACGTCCACGTCCACGTCCACGACCACGTCCACGTCTACGACCACGTCCACGTCCACGACCACATCCACGTCCACGTCCACGTCCACGTCCTCCACGTCCACGTCCTCCTCGTCCACGTCCTCCACGTCCACGTCCACGTCCACCTCCACGTCCAAGTCCACGTCCACGTCCACGTCTGCGTCCACGACCACGTCCACGTCCACGTCCACGTCCACGACCACGTCCACGTCCACGTCCACGTCCACGGCCAGGTCCACGTCCACGTCCAGGGCCAGGTCCACGTCCACGTCCATGTCCACGTCCACGTCCACGTCCAAGTCCACGTCCTCGTCCACGTCCACGTCCTCGACCACGACCACGTCCACGTCCACGTCCACGGCCACATCCACGTCCACGTCCACGTCCACGTCAACGTCCAAGTCCACGTCCACGTCCACGTCCACGTCCACGTCCACGTCCACGTGCACGACCACGTCCACGTTCAAGTCCAAGTCCCCGTCCACGTCCACGTCCAAGTCCCCGTCCACGTCCACGTCCACGTCCAAGTCCACGTCCACGTCCACGTCCGCGTCCACGACCACGTCCACGTCCTCCACGTCCACGTCCTCCACGTCCACGTCTACGTCCACGACCACGTCCACGTCCTCCACGTCCACGTCCTCCACGTCCACGTCCACGTCCACGTCCACGTCCACGTCCACGTCCACATCCACGTCCACGACCATGTCCACATCCACGTCCAAGTCCACGTCCACGTCCACGTCCACGTCCACGTCCAAGTCCACGTCCACGTCCACGTCCACGTCCACGTCCATGTGCACGACCACGTCCACGTTCAAGTCCAAGTCCCCGTCCACGTCCACGTCCAAGTCCACGTCCTCGTCCACGTCCAAGTCCACGTCCACGTCCACGTCCACGACCACGTCCACGTCCTCCACGTCCACGTCCTCCACGTCCACGTCCTCGTCCACGTCCACGTCCACGTCCACGTCCACGTCCACGTCCACGTCCACGTCCTCGTCCACATCCACGTCCACGTCCACGTCCATGTCCAAAGCCAGGTCCACGTCCACGTCCACGGCCACGTCCACGTCCACGTCCACGTCCACGTTCAAGTCCACGTCCACGTCCACGTCTACGACAACGTCCACGTACACGTCCACGTCCACGACCACGTCCACGTCCACGTCCACGACCACGTCCACGTCCACGACCACGTCCACGTCCACGTCCTCCACGTCCACGTCCTCCACGTCCTTGCCACGTCCTCCACGTCCACGTCCACGTCCAAGTCCACGTCCATGTTCACGTCCACGTCCACGACCACGTCCACGTCCACGTCCACGACCACGTCCACGTCCACGTCCACGTCCAGGGCCATGTCCACGTCCACGTCCACGTCCACGCCCAAGTCCACATCCACGTCCACGTCCTCGTCCACGTCCACGACCACGACCACGTCCACGTCCACGTCCACGTCCACGTCCACGACCACGTCGACGTCCACCTCCACGTCCACGTCCACGTCCTCCACGTCCACGTCCACGTCCTCCACGTCCATGTCCACGTCCACGTCCACGTCCACGACCACGTCCACGTCCACGACCAAGTCCACGTCCACGTCCACGTCTACGTCCACGTCCACGTCCACGACCACGTCCACGTCCACGTCTACGACCACGTCCACGTCCACGACCACTTCCACGTCCACGTCCACGTCCACGTCCTCCACGTCCACGTCCTCCACGTCCACGTCCAAGTCCACGTCCACGTCCACATCCACGACCACGTCCACGTCCACGTCCACGTCCACGTCCACGTCCACGACCACGTCCACGTCCACGTCCACTTCCACGACCACGTCCACGTCCACGTCCACGTCTACGTCCACGTACACGTCCACGTCCACGTCCACGTCCACGTCCACGTTCTCCACGTCCAGGCCACGTCCACGTCCACGTCCACGTTCACGTCCACGTTCTCCACGTCCACGTCCACGTCCACGTTCTCCACGTCCACGTCCACGTTCTCCACGTCCAGGCCACGTCCACGTCCACGTCCACGACCACGTCCACGTCCACGTCTACGACCACGTCCACGTCCACGTCCACGTCCACGTCCACGTCCACGTCCTCCACGTCCACGTCCACGTCCACGTCCTCGTCCACGTCCACGTCAAAGTCCACGTCCACGTCCACGTCCACGTCCACGACCACGTCAACGTCCACGTCCACGTCCACGTCCACGTCCACGTCCACGTCCACGACCACGTCCACGTCCACGTCCACGTCCACGTCCAGGTCCACGTCCACGTCCACGTCCACGTCCACGACCACGTCCACGTCTACGACCACGTCCACGTCCACGACCACATCCACGTCTACGTCCACGTCCACGTCCTCCACGTCTACGTCCTCCTCGTCCACGTCCTCCACGTCCACGTCCACGTCCACCTCCACGTCCAAGTCCACGTCCACGTCCACGTCTGCGTCCACGACCACGTCCACGTCCACGTCCACGTCCACGACCACGTCCACGTCCACGTCCACGTCCACGGCCAGGTCCACGTCCACGTCCAGGGCCAGGTCCACGTCCACGTCCATGTCCACGTCCACGTCCACGTCCAAGTCCACGTCCTCGTCCACGTCCACGTCCTCGACCACGACCACGTCCACGTCCACGTCCACGGCCACGTCCACGTCCACGTCCACGTCCACGTCCACGTCCAAGTCCACGTCCACGTCCACGTCCACGTCCACGTCCACGTGCACGACCACGTCCACGTTCAAGTCCAAGTCCCCGTCCACGTCCACGTCCAAGTCCCCGTCCACGTCCACGTCCACGTCCAAGTCCACGTCCACGTCCGCGTCCACGACCACGTCCACGTCCTCCACGTCCACGTCCTCCACGTCCACGTCTACGTCCACGACCACGTCCACGTCCTCCACGTCCACGTCCTCCACGTCCACGTCCACGTCCACGTCCACGTCCACGTCCACGTCCACATCCACGTCCACGACCATGTCCACATCCACGTCCAAGTCCACGTCCACGTCCACGTCCACGTCCAAGTCCACGTCCACGTCCACGTCCACGTCCACGTCCATGTGCACGACCACGTCCACGTTCAAGTCCAAGTCCCCGTCCACGTCCACGTCCAAGTCCACGTCCTCGTCCACGTCCAAGTCCACGTCCACGTCCACGTCCACGACCACGTCCACGTCCTCCACGTCCACGTCCTCCACGTCCACGTCCTCGTCCACGTCCACGTCCACGTCCACGTCCACGTCCACGTCCACGTCCACGTCCACGTCCACGTCCTCGTCCACATCCACGTCCACGTCCACGTCCATGTCCAAAGCCAGGTCCACGTCCACGTCCACGGCCACGTCCACGTCCACGTCCACGTCCACGTTCAAGTCCACGTCCACGTCCACGTCTACGACAACGTCCACGTACACGTCCACGTCCACGTCCACGTTCTCCACGTCCAGGCCACGTCCACGTCCACGTCCACGTTCTCGACGTCCAGGCCACGTCCACGTCCACGTCCACGTCCACGACCACGTCCACGTCCACGTCCACGTCTACGACCACGTCCACGTCCACGTCCACGTCCACGACCACGTCCACGTCCACGTCCATGTCCACGACCACGTCCACGTCCACGACCACGTCCACGTCCACGTCCACGTCCACGTCCACGACCACGTCCACGTCCACGTCCACGACCACGTCCACGTCCACGACCACTTCCACGTCCACGTCCTCCACGTCCACGTCCTCCACGTCCTTGCCACGTCCTCCATGTCCACGTCCACGTCCAAGTCCACGTCCATGTTCACGTCCACGTCCACGACCACGACCACGTCCACGTCCACGTCCACGTCCACGACCACGTCCACGTCCACGTCCACGTCCACGTCCAGGGCCATGTCCACGTCCACGTCCACGTTCACGTCCAAGTCCACATCCACGTCCACGTCCTCGTCCACGTCCACGACTACGACCACGTCCACGTCCACGTCCACGTCCACGACCACGTCGACGTCCACCTCCACGTCCACGTCGACGTCGACGTCCACGTCCACGTCCTCCACGTCCACGTCCACGTCCTCCACGTCCATGTCCATGTCCACGTCCACGACCACGTCCACGTCCACGACCACGTCCACTTCCACGTCCACGTCTACGTCCACGTCCACGTCCACGACCACGTCCACGTCTACGACCACGTCCACGTCCACGACCACGTCCACGTCCACGACCACTTCCACGTCCACGTCCACGTCCACGTCCTCCACGTCCACGTCCTCCACGTCCACGTCCAAGTCCACGTCCACGTCCACATCCACGTCCACGTCCACGTCCACGTCCACGTCCACGACCACATCCACGTCCACGTCCACTTCCACGACCACGTCCACGTCCACGTCCACGTCCACGTCCACGTACACGTCCACGTCCACGTCCACGTCCACGTCCACGTCCACGTCCAAGTCCACGTTCTCCACGTCCAGGCCACGTCCACGTCCACGTCCACGTCCACGTCCACGTCCACGTTCTCCATGTCCACGTCCACGTCCACGTTCTCCACGTCCACGCCACGTTCTCCACGTCCAGGCCACGTCCACGTCCACGTCCACGACCACGTCCACGTCCACGTCCATGTTCACGTCCACGTCCACGTCCACTTCCACGACCACGTCCACGTCCACGTCCACGACCACGTCCACGTCCACGTACACGTCCACGTCCACGTCCACGTCCACGTCCAGGCCACGTCCACGTCCACGTCCACGTCCACGTTCTCCACGTCCAGGCCACGTCCACGTCCACGTCCACGTCCACGTCCACGTCCACGTCCACGTCCACGTCCAAGTCCACGTTCTCCACGTCCAGGCCACGTCCACGTCCACGTCCACGTCCACGTCCACGTCCACGTTCTCCATGTCCACGTCCACGTCCACGTTCTCCACGTCCACGCCACGTTCTCCACGTCCAGGCCACGTCCACGTCCACGTCCACGACCATGTCCACGTCCACGTCCATGTTCACGTCCACGTCCACGTCCACTTCCACGACCACGTCCACGTCCACGACCACGTCCACGTCCACGTACACGTCCACGTCCACGTCCACGTCCACGTCCAGGCCACGTCCACGTCCACGTCCACGTCCACGTTCTCCACGTCCAGGCCACGTCCACGTCCACGTCCACGTCCACGTCCACGTCTACGACCACGTCCACGTCCACGTCCACGTTAACGTCCTCCACGTCCACGTCCACGTCCACGTCCTCGTCCACGTCCACGTCCAAGTCCACGTCCACGTCCACGACCACGTCCACGTCCACGTCCACGTCCACGTCCACGTCCACGACCACGTCCACGTCCACGTCCACGACCACGTCCACGTCCACGTCCACGTCCACGTCCTCCACGTCCACGTCCTCCACGTCCTTGCCACGTCCTCCACGTCCACGTCCACGTCCAAGTCCACGTCCACCTTCACGTCCACGTCCACGACTAGTCCACGTCCACGTCCACGTCCACATCCACGACCACGTCCACGTCCACGTCCACGACCACGTCCACGTCCACGACCACGTCCACGTCCACGACCACGTCCACGTCCACGTCCACGACCACGTCCACGTCCACGTCCACGTCCACGTCCTCCACGTCCACGTCCTCCACGTCCTTGCGACGTCCTCCACGTCCACGTCCACGTCCAAGTCCACGTCCACGTTCACGTCCACGTCCACGACCACGTCCACGTCCACATCCACGTCCACGTCCACGACCACGTCCACGTCCACGTCCACGGCCACGTCCACGTCGACGTCCACGTCCACGTCCAAGTCCACGTCCACGTCCACGTCCACGTCCTCGTCCATGTCCACGACCACGACCACGTCCACGTCCACGTCCACGTCCACGACCACGTCCACGTCCACCTCCACGTCCACGTCGACGTCGACGTCCATGTCCACGTCCTCCACGTCCACGTCCACGTCCTCCATGTCCATGTCCACGTCCACGTCCACGTCCACGACCACGTCCACGTCCACGACCACGTCCACGTCCACGTCGACGTCCACGTCCACGTCCACGACCACGTCCACGTCCACGTCCACGACCACGTCCACGTCCACGACCACTTCCACGTCCACGTCCACGTCCTCCACGTCCACGTCCTCCACGGCCACGTCCAAGTCCACGTCCACGTCCACGTCCACGACCACGTCCACGTCCACGTCCACGTCCACGTCCACGACCACGTCCACGTCCACGTCCACGTCCACGTCCACGGCCAGGGCCACGTCCACGTTCACGTCCACGTCCACGTCCACGTCCTCGTCCACGTCCACGTCCACGTCCACGTCCATGTCCAAAGTTAGGTCCACGTCCACGTCCACGTCCACGGCCACGTCCACGTCCACGTCCACGTCCACGTTCAAGTCCACGTCCACGTCCACGTCCACGTCTACGACAACGTCCACGTACACGTCCACGTCCACGTCCACGTCCACGTTCTCCACGTCCAGGCCACGTCCACGTCCACGTCCACGTTCTCCACGTCCAGGCCACGTCCACGTCCATGTCCACGTCCACGTCCACGTCCACGTCCACGTCCACGTCCACGACCACGTCCACGTCCACGTCTACGTCTACGACCACGTCCACGTCCACGTCCACGTCCACGACCACGTCCACGTCCACGTCCACGTCCATGTCCACGACCACGTCCACGTCCACGTCCACGACCACGTCCACGTCCACGTCCACGTCCACGACCACGTCCACGTACACGACCACGTCCACGTCCACGACCACGTCCACGTCCACGTCCTCCACGTCCACGTCCTCTACGTCCTTGTCACGTCCTCCACGTCCACGTCCACGTCCAAGTCCTCGTCCATGTTCACGTCCACGTCCACGACCACGTCCACGTCCACGTCCACGTCCACGTCCACGACCACGTCCACGTCCACGTCCAGGGCCATGTCCACGTCCACGTCCACGTCCACGCCCAAGTCCACATCCACGTCCACGTCCTCGTCCACGTCCACGACCACGACCACGTCCACGTCCACGTCCACGTCCACGACCACGTCGACGTCCACCTCCACGTCCACGTCGACGTCGACGTCCACGTCCACGTCCTCCACGTCCACGTCCACGTCCTCCACGTCCATGTCCACGTCCACGTCCACGGCCACGACCACGTCCACGTCCACGACCACGTCCACGTCCACGTCTACGTCTACGTCCACGTCCACGTCCACGACCACGTCCACGTCCACGTCTAGGACCACGTCCACGTCCACGACCACTTCCACGTCCACGTCCACGTCCACGTCCTCCACGTCCACGTCCTCCACGTCCACGTCCAAGTCCACGTCCACGTCCACATCCACGACCACGTCCACGTCCACGTCCACGTCCACGTCCACGACCACGTCCACGTCCACGTCCACTTCCACGACCACGTCCACGTCCACGTCCACGTCTACGTCCACGTACACGTCCACGTCCACATCCACGTCCACGTCCACGTTCTCCACGTCCAGGCCACGTCCACGTCCACGTCCACGTTCACGTCCACGTTCTCCACGTCCACGTCCACGTTCTCCACGTCCACGTCCACGTTCTCCACGTCCAGGCCACGTCCACGTCCACGTCCACGTCCACGACCACGTCCACGTCCACGTCCACGTCTACGACCACGTCCACGTGCACGTCCACGTCCACGTCCACGTCCTCCACGTCCACGTCCACGTCCACGTCCTCGTCCACGTCCACGTCGAAGTCCACGTCCACGTCCACGTCCACGTCCACGACCACGTCAACGTCCACGTCCACGTCCACGTCCACGTCAACGTCCACGTCCACGTCCACGTCCACGTCCACGACCATGTCCACGTCCACGTCCACGTCCACGTCCAGGTCCACGTCCACGTCCACGTCCACGTCCATGACCACGTCCACGTCTACGACCACGTCCACGTCTATGACCACGTCCACGTCCACGTCCACGTCCTCCACGTCCACGTCCTCCACGTCCACGTCCTCCACGTCCACGTCCACGTCCACCTCCACGTCCAAGTCCACGTCCACGTCCACGTCTGCGTCCACGACCACGTCCACGTCCACGTCCACGTCCACGACCACGTCCACGTCCACGTCCACGTCCACGGCCAGGTCCACGTCCACGTCCAGGGCCAGGTCCACGTCCACGTCCATGTCCACGTCCACGTCCACGTCCAAGTCTACGTCCTCGTCCACCTCCACGTCCTCGACCACGACCACGTCCACGTCCACGTCCACGGCCACGTCCACGTCCACCTCCACGTCCAAGTCCACGTCCACGTCCACGTCCACGTCCACGTCTACGTGCACGACCACGTCCACGTTCAAGTCCAAGTCCCCGTCCACGTCCACGTCCAAGTCCACGTCCACGTCCACGTCCAAGTCCACGTCCACGTCCACGTCCGCGTCCACGTCCACGTCCTCCACGTCCACGTCCTCCACGTCCTCGTCCACGTCCACGTCCACGTCCACGTCCACGTCCACATCCACGTCCACGACCATGTCCACATCCACGTCCAAGTCCACGTCCACGTCCACGTCCACGTCCAAGTCCACGTCCACGTCCACGTCCACGTCCATGTGCACGACCACGTCCACGTTCAAGTCCAAGTCCCCGTCCACGTCCACGTCCAAGTCCACGTCCACGTCCACGTCCAAGTCCACGTCCACGTCCACGTCCACGACCACGTCCACGTCCTCCACGTCCACGTCCTCCACGTCCACGTCCTCGTCCACGTCCACGTCCACGTCCACGTCCACGTCCACGTCCACGTCCTCGTCCACGTCCACGTCCACGTCCACGTCCATGTCCTAAGCCAGGTCCACGTCCACGTCCACGGCCACGTCCACGTCCACGTCCACGTCCACGTTCAAGTCCACGTCCACGTCCACGTCCACGTCTACGACAACGTCCACGTACACGTCCACGTCCACGTCCACGTCCACGTTCTCCACGTCCAGGCCACGTCCACGTCCACGTCCACGTTCTCCACGTCTAGGCCACGTCCACGTCCACGTCCACGTCCACGTCCACGACCACGTCCACGTCCACGTCTACGACCACGTCCACGTCCACGTCCACGTCCACGACGACGTCCACGTCCACGTCCATGTCCACGACCACGTCCACGTCCACGACAACGTCCACGTCCACGTCCACGTCCACGTCCACGTCCACGACCACGTCCACGTCCACGTCCACGACCACGTCCACGACCACTTCCACGTCCACGTCCTCCACGTCCACGTCCTCCACGTCCTTGCCACGTCCTCCATGTCCACGTCCACGTCCAAGTCCACGTCCATGTTCACGTCCACGTCCACGACCACGACCACGTCCACGTCCACGTCCACGTCCACGACCACGTCCACGTCCACGTCCACGTCCAGGGCCATGTCCACGTCCACGTCCACGTTCACGTCCAAGTCCACATCAACGTCCACGTCCTCGTCCACGTCCACGACCACGACCACGTCCACGTCCACGTCCACGTCCATGTCCACGACCACGTCGACGTCCACCTCCACGTCCACGTCGACGTCGACGTCCACGTCCACGTCCTCCACGTCCACGTCCACGTCCTCCACGTCCATGTCCACGTCCACGTCCACGACCACGTCCACGTCCACGACCACGTCCACGTCCACGTCCACGTCTACGTCCACGTCCACGTCCACGACCACGTCCACGTCCACGTCTACGACCACGTCCACGTCCACGACCACTTCCACGTCCACGTCCTCCACGTCCACGTCCTCCACGTCCACGTCCAAGTCCACGTCCACGTCCACATCCACGACCACGTCCACGTCCACGTCCACGTCCACGTCCACGACCACGTCAACGTCCACGTCCACGTCCACGTCCACGTCCACGTCCACGACCACGTCAACGTCCACGTCCACGTCCATGTCCACGTCCACGTCCACGTCCACGTCCACGACCACGTCCACGTCCACGTCCACGTCCACGTCCAGGTCCACGTCCACGTCCACGTCCACGTCCACGACCACGTCCACGTCTACGACCACGTCCACGTCCACGACCACGTCCACGTCCACGTCCACGTCCACGTCCTCCACGTCCACGTCCTCCACGTCCACGTCCTCCACGTCCACGTCCACGTCCACCTCCACGTCCACGTCCACGTGCACGACCACGTCCACGTTCAAGTCCAAGTCCCCGTCCACGTCCACGTCCAAGTCCACGTCCACGTCCACGTCCAAGTCCACGTCCACGTCCACGTCCGCGTCCACGTCCTCCACGTCCACGTCCTCCACGTCCACGTCCACGTCCACGTCCACGTCCACGTCCACGTCCACGTCCACATCCACGTCCACGACCATGTCCACATCCACGTCCAAGTCCACGTCCACGTCCACGTCCACGTCCAAGTCCACGTCCACGTCCAGGTCCACGTCCATGTGCACGACCACGTCCACGTTCAAGTCCAAGTCCCCGTCCACGTCCAAGTCCACGTCCACGTCCACGTCCAAGTCCACGTACACGTCCACGTCCACGACCACGTCCACGTCCTCCACGTCCACGTCCTCCACGTCCACGTCCTCGTCCACGTCCACGTCCACGTCCACGTCCACGTCCACGTCCTCGTCCACGTCCACGTCCACGTCCACGTCCATGTCCTAAGCCAGGTCCACGTCCACGTCCACGGCCACGTCCACGTCCACGTCCACGTCCACGTTCAAGTCCACGTCCACGTCCACGTCTACGACAACGTCCACGTACACGTCCACGTCCACGTCCACGTCCACGTCCACGTTCTCCACGTCCAGGCCACGTCCACGTCCACGTCCACGTTCTCCACGTCCAGGCCACGTCCACGTCCACGTCCACGTCCACGTCCACGACCACGTCCACGTCCACGTCCACGTCTACGACCACGTCCACGTCCACGTCCACGTCCACGACCACGTCCACGTCCACGTCCATGTCCACGACCACGTCCACGTCCACGACAACGTCCACGTCCACGTCCACGTCCACGACCACGTCCACGTCCACGTCCACGACCACGTCCACGTCCACGACCACTTCCACGTCCACGTCCTCCACGTCCACGTCCTCCACGTCCTTGCCACGTCCTCCATGTCCACGTCCACGTCCAAGTCCACGTCCATGTTCACGTCCACGTCCACGACCACGACCACGTCCACGTCCACGTCCACGACCACGTTCACGTCCAAGTCCACATCAACGTCCACGTCCTCGTCCACGTCCACGACCACGACCACGTCCACGTCCACGTCCACGTCCACGACCACGTCGACGTCCACCTCCACGTCCACGTCGACGTCGACGTCCACGTCCACGTCCTCCACGTCCACGTCCACGTCCTCCACGTCCATGTCCACGTTCACGTCCACGACCACGTCCACGTCCACGACCACGTCCACGTCCACGTCCACGTCTACGTCCACGTCCACGACCACGTCCACGTCCACGTCTACGACCACGTCCACGTCCACGACCACTTCCACGTCCACGTCCACGTCCTCCACGTCCACGTCCTCCACGTCCACGTCCAAGTCCACGTCCACGTCCACATCCACGACCACGTCCACGTCCACGTCCATGTCCACGTCCACGTCCACGTCCACGTCCTCGTCCACGTCCACGTCGAAGTCCACGTCCACGTCCACGTCCACGTCCACGTCCACGACCACGTCAACGTCCACGTCCACGTCCACGTCCACGTCCACGACCACGTCCACGTCCACGTCCACGTCCACGTCGAGGTCCACGTCCACGTCCACGTCCACGTCCACGACCACGTCCACGTCTACGACCACGTCCACGTCCACGACCACGTCCACGTCCACGTCCACGTCCACGTCCTCCACGTCCACGTCCTCCACGTCCACGTCCTCCACGTCCACGTCCACGTCCACCTCCACGTCCAAGTCCACGTCCACGTCCACGTCTGCGTCCACGACCACGTCCACGTCCACGTCCACGTCCACGACCACGTCCACGTCCACGTCCACGGCCAGGTCCACGTCCACGTCCAGGGCCAGGTCCACGTCCACGTCCATGTCCACGTCCACGTCCACGTCCAAGTCCACGTCCTCGTCCACGTCCACGTCCTCGACCACGACCACGTCGACGTCCACGTCCACGGCCACGTCCACGTCCACCTCCACGTCCAAGTCCACGTCCACGTCCACGTCCACGTCCACGTGCACGACCACGTCCACGTTCAAGTCTAAGTCCCCGTCCACGTCCACGTCCAAGTCCACGTCCACGTCCACGTCCAAGTCCACGTCCACGTCCACGTCCGCGTCCACGTCCTTGCCTCCACGTCCACGTCCTCCACGTCCACGTCCACGTCCACGTCCACGTCCACATCCACGTCCACGACCATGTCCACATCCACGTCCAAGTCCACGTCCACGTCCACGTCCACGTCCACGTCCAAGTCCACGTCCACGTCCACGTCCACGACCACGTCCACGTCCACGTCCACGTCCAGGGCCATGTCCACGTCCACGTCCACGTTCACGTCCAAGTCCACATCAACGTCCACGTCCTCGTCCACGTCCACGACCACGACCACGTCCACGTCCACGTCCACGACCACGTCGACGTCCACCTCCACGTCCACGTCGACGTCGACGTCCACGTCCGCTCCTCCACGTCCACGTCCACGTCCTCCACGTCCATGTCCACGTCCACGTCCACGACCACGTCCACGTCCACGACCACGTCCACGTCCACGTCCACGTCTACGTCCACGTCCACGTCCACGACCACGTCCACGTCCACGTCTACGACCACGTCCACGTCCACGACCACTTCCACGTCCACGTCCACGTCCACGTCCTCCACGTCCACGTCCTCCACGTCCACGTCCAAGTCCACGTCCACGTCCACATCCACGACCACGTCCACGTCCACGTCCACGTCCACGTCCACGTCCACGTCCTCGTCCACGTCCACGTCGAAGTCCACGTCCACGTCCACGTCCACGACCACGTCAACGTCCACGTCCACGTCCACGTCCACGTCCACGTCCACGTCCACGACCACGTCCACGTCCACGTCCACGTCCACGTCCAGGTCCACGTCCACGTCCACGTCCACGTCCACGACCACGTCCACGTCTACGACCACGTCCACGTCCACGACCACGTCCACGTCCACGTCCACGTCCACGTCCTCCACGTCCACGTCCTCCACGTCCACGTCCTCCACGTCCACGTCCACGTCCACCTCCACGTCCACGTCCACGTGCACGACCACGTCCACGTTCAAGTTCAAGTCCCCGTCCACGTCCACGTCCAAGTCCACGTCCACGTCCACGTCCAAGTCCACGTCCACGTCCACGTCCGCGTCCACGTCCTCCACGTCCACGTCCTCCACGTCCACGTCCACGTCCACGTCCACGTCCACGTCCACATCCACGTCCACGACCATGTCCACATCCACGTCCAAGTCCACGTCCACGTCCACGTCCACGTCCAAGTCCACGTCCACGTCTACGTCCACGTCCATGTGCACGACCACGTCCACGTTCAAGTCCAAGTCCCCGTCCACGTCCAAGTCCGCGTCCACGTCCACGTCCAAGTCCACGTCCACGTCCACGTCCACGACCACGTCCACGTCCTCCACGTCCACGTCCTCCACGTCCACGTCCTCGTCCACGTCCACGTCCACGTCCACGTCCACGTCCACGTCCACGTCCACGTCCACGTCCTCGTCCACGTCCACGTCCACGTCCATGTCCTAAGCCAGGTCCACGTCCACGTCCACGGCCACGTCCACGTCCACGTCCACGTCCACGTTCAAGTCCACGTCCACGTCCACGTCCACGTCTACGACAACGTCCACGTACACGTCCACGTCCACGTCCACGTCCACGTTCTCCACGTCCAGGCCACGTCCACGTCCACGTCCACGTTCTCCACGTCCAGGCCACGTCCACGTCCACGTCCACGTCCACGACCACGTCCACGTCCACGTCTACGACCACGTCCACGTCCACGTCCACGACCACGTCCACGTCCACGTCCACGTCCACGACCACGTCCACGTCCACGTCCACGTCCACGTCCTCCACGTCCACGTCCACGTCCACCTCCACGTCCACGTCCACGTGCACGACCACGTCCACGTTCAAGTCCAAGTCCCCGTCCACGTCCACGTCCAAGTCCACGTCCACGTCCACGTCCAAGTCCACGTCCACGTCCACGTCCGCGTCCACGTCCTCCACGTCCACGTCCTCCACGTCCACGTCCACGTCCACGTCCACGTCCACGTCCACGTCCACGTCCACATCCACGTCCACGACCATGTCCACATCCACGTCCAAGTCCACGTCCACGTCCACGTCCACGTCCAAGTCCACGTCCACGTCCAGGTCCACGTCCATGTGCACGACCACGTCCACGTTCAAGTCCAAGTCCCCGTCCACGTCCAAGTCCACGTCCACGTCCACGTCCAAGTCCACGTACACGTCCACGTCCACGACCACGTCCACGTCCTCCACGTCCACGTCCTCCACGTCCACGTCCTCGTCCACGTCACGTCCACGTCCACGTCCACGTCCACGTCCACGTCCTCGTCCACGTCCACGTCCACGTCCACGTCCATGTCCTAAGCCAGGTCCACGTCCACGTCCACGGCCACGTCCACGTCCACGTCCACGTCCACGTTCAAGTCCACGTCCACGTCCACGTCTACGACAACGTCCACGTACACGTCCACGTCCACGTCCACGTCCACGTCCACGTTCTCCACGTCCAGGCCACGTCCACGTCCACGTCCACGTTCTCCACGTCCAGGCCACGTCCACGTCCACGTCCACGTCCACGTCCACGACCACGTCCACGTCCACGTCCACGTCTACGACCACGTCCACGTCCACGTCCACGTCCACGACCACGTCCACGTCCACGTCCATGTCCACGACCACGTCCACGTCCACGACAACGTCCACGTCCACGTCCACGTCCACGACCACGTCCACGTCCACGTCCACGACCACGTCCACGTCCACGACCACTTCCACGTCCACGTCCTCCACGTCCACGTCCTCCACGTCCTTGCCACGTCCTCCATGTCCACGTCCACGTCCAAGTCCACGTCCATGTTCACGTCCACGTCCACGACCACGACCACGTCCACGTCCACGTCCACGACCACGTCCACGTCCACGTCCAGGGCCATGTCCACGTCCACGTCCACGTTCACGTCCAAGTCCACATCAACGTCCACGTCCTCGTCCACGTCCACGACCACGACCACGTCCACGTCCACGTCCACGACCACGTCGACGTCCACCTCCACGTCCACGTCGACGTCGACGTCCACGTCCACGTCCTCCACGTCCACGTCCACGTCCTCCACGTCCATGTCCACGTTCACGTCCACGACCACGTCCACGTCCACGACCACGTCCACGTCCACGTCCACGTCTACGTCCACGTCCACGACCACGTCCACGTCCACGTCTACGACCACGTCCACGTCCACGACCACTTCCACGTCCACGTCCACGTCCACGTCCTCCACGTCCACGTCCTCCACGTCCACGTCCAAGTCCACGTCCACGTCCACATCCACGACCACGTCCACGTCCACGTCCATGTCCACGTCCACGTCCACGTCCACGTCCTCGTCCACGTCCACGTCGAAGTCCACGTCCACGTCCACGTCCACGTCCACGTCCACGACCACGTCAACGTCCACGTCCACGTCCACGTCCACGTCCACGACCACGTCCACGTCCACGTCCACGTCCACGTCGAGGTCCACGTCCACGTCCACGTCCACGTCCACGACCACGTCCACGTCTACGACCACGTCCACGTCCACGACCACGTCCACGTCCACGTCCACGTCCACGTCCTCCACGTCCACGTCCTCCACGTCCACGTCCTCCACGTCCACGTCCACGTCCACCTCCACGTCCAAGTCCACGTCCACGTCCACGTCTGCGTCCACGACCACGTCCACGTCCACGTCCACGTCCACGACCACGTCCACGTCCACGTCCACGGCCAGGTCCACGTCCACGTCCAGGGCCAGGTCCACGTCCACGTCCATGTCCACGTCCACGTCCACGTCCAAGTCCACGTCCTCGTCCACGTCCACGTCCTCGACCACGACCACGTCGACGTCCACGTCCACGGCCACGTCCACGTCCACCTCCACGTCCAAGTCCACGTCCACGTCCACGTCCACGTCCACGTGCACGACCACGTCCACGTTCAAGTCTAAGTCCCCGTCCACGTCCACGTCCAAGTCCACGTCCACGTCCACGTCCAAGTCCACGTCCACGTCCACGTCCGCGTCCACGTCCTTGCCTCCACGTCCACGTCCTCCACGTCCACGTCCACGTCCACGTCCACGTCCACGTCCACATCCACGTCCACGACCATGTCCACATCCACGTCCAAGTCCACGTCCACGTCCACGTCCACGTCCACGTCCAAGTCCACGTCCACGTCCACGTCCACGACCACGTCCACGTCCACGTCCACGTCCAGGGCCATGTCCACGTCCACGTCCACGTTCACGTCCAAGTCCACATCAACGTCCACGTCCTCGTCCACGTCCACGACCACGACCACGTCCACGTCCACGTCCACGACCACGTCGACGTCCACCTCCACGTCCACGTCGACGTCGACGTCCACGTCCGCTCCTCCACGTCCACGTCCACGTCCTCCACGTCCATGTCCACGTCCACGTCCACGACCACGTCCACGTCCACGACCACGTCCACGTCCACGTCCACGTCTACGTCCACGTCCACGTCCACGACCACGTCCACGTCCACGTCTACGACCACGTCCACGTCCACGACCACTTCCACGTCCACGTCCACGTCCACGTCCTCCACGTCCACGTCCTCCACGTCCACGTCCAAGTCCACGTCCACGTCCACATCCACGACCACGTCCACGTCCACGTCCACGTCCACGTCCACGTCCACGTCCTCGTCCACGTCCACGTCGAAGTCCACGTCCACGTCCACGTCCACGACCACGTCAACGTCCACGTCCACGTCCACGTCCACGTCCACGTCCACGTCCACGACCACGTCCACGTCCACGTCCACGTCCACGTCCAGGTCCACGTCCACGTCCACGTCCACGTCCACGACCACGTCCACGTCTACGACCACGTCCACGTCCACGACCACGTCCACGTCCACGTCCACGTCCACGTCCTCCACGTCCACGTCCTCCACGTCCACGTCCTCCACGTCCACGTCCACGTCCACCTCCACGTCCACGTCCACGTGCACGACCACGTCCACGTTCAAGTTCAAGTCCCCGTCCACGTCCACGTCCAAGTCCACGTCCACGTCCACGTCCAAGTCCACGTCCACGTCCACGTCCGCGTCCACGTCCTCCACGTCCACGTCCTCCACGTCCACGTCCACGTCCACGTCCACGTCCACGTCCACGTCCACATCCACGTCCACGACCATGTCCACATCCACGTCCAAGTCCACGTCCACGTCCACGTCCACGTCCAAGTCCACGTCCACGTCTACGTCCACGTCCATGTGCACGACCACGTCCACGTTCAAGTCCAAGTCCCCGTCCACGTCCAAGTCCGCGTCCACGTCCACGTCCAAGTCCACGTCCACGTCCACGTCCACGACCACGTCCACGTCCTCCACGTCCACGTCCTCCACGTCCACGTCCTCGTCCACGTCCACGTCCACGTCCACGTCCACGTCCACGTCCACGTCCACGTCCACGTCCTCGTCCACGTCCACGTCCACGTCCATGTCCTAAGCCAGGTCCACGTCCACGTCCACGGCCACGTCCACGTCCACGTCCACGTCCACGTTCAAGTCCACGTCCACGTCCACGTCCACGTCTACGACAACGTCCACGTACACGTCCACGTCCACGTCCACGTCCACGTTCTCCACGTCCAGGCCACGTCCACGTCCACGTCCACGTTCTCCACGTCCAGGCCACGTCCACGTCCACGTCCACGTCCACGACCACGTCCACGTCCACGTCTACGACCACGTCCACGTCCACGTCCACGACCACGTCCACGTCCACGTCCATGTCCACGACCACGTCCACGTCCACGACAACGTCCACGTCCACGTCCACGTCCACGACCACGTCCACGTCCACGTCCACGACCACGTCCACGTCCACGACCACTTCCACGTCCACGTCCTCCACGTCCACGTCCTCCACGTCCTTGCCACGTCCTCCATGTCCACGTCCACGTCCAAGTCCACGTCCATGTTCACGTCCACGTCCACCACCACGACCACGTCCACGTCCACGTCCACGACCACGTCCACGTCCACGTCCACGTCCAGGGCCATGTCCACGTCCACGTCCACGTTCACGTCCAAGTCCACATCAACGTCCACGTCCTCGTCCACGTCCACGACCACGACCACGTCCACGTCCACGTCCACGTCCACGACCACGTCGACGTCCACCTCCACGTCCACGTCGACGTCGACGTCCACGTCCACGTCCTCCACGTCCACGTCCACGTCCTCCACGTCCATGTCCACGTCCACGTCCACGACCACGTCCACGTCCACGACCACGTCCACGTCCACGTCCACGTCTACGTCCACGTCCACGTCCACGACCACGTCCACGTCCACGTCTACGACCACGTCCACGTCCACGACCACTTCCACGTCCACGTCCACGTCCACGTCCTCCACGTCCACGTCCTCCACGTCCACGTCCAAGTCCACGTCCACGTCCACATCCACGACCACGTCCACGTCCACGTCCATGTCCACGTCCACGTCCACGTCCACGTCCTCGTCCACGTCCACGTCGAAGTCCACGTCCACGTCCACGTCCACGTCCACGACCACGTCAACGTCCACGTCCACGTCCACGTCCACGTCCACGTCCACGTCCACGACCACGTCCACGTCCACGTCCACGTCCACGTCCAGGTCCACGTCCACGTCCACGTCCACGTCCACGTCCACGACCACGTCCACGTCTACGACCACGTCCACGTCCACGACCACGTCCATGTCCACGTCCACGTCCACGTCCTCCACGTCCACGTCCTCCACGTCCACGTCCTCCACGTCCACGTCCACGTCCACCTCCACGTCCAAGTCCACGTCCACGTCCACGTCTGCGTCCACGACCACGTCCACGTCCACGTCCACGTCCACGTCCACGACCACGTCCACGTCCACGTCCATGTCCACGTCCACGTCCAAGTCCACGTCCACGTCCACGTCCACGTCCAAGTCCACGTCCACGTCCACGTCCAAGTCCACGTCCACGTCCACGTCCGCGTCCACGTCCACGTCCTCCACGTCCACGTCCTCCACGTCCACGTCCACGTCCACGTCCACGTCCACGTCCACATCCACGTCCACGACCATGTCCACATCCACGTCCAAGTCCACGTCCACGTCCACGTCCACGTCCACGTCCAAGTCCACGTCCACGTCCACGTCCACGTCCATGTGCACGACCACGTCCACGTTCAAGTCCAAGTCCCCGTCCACGTCCACGTCCAAGTCCACGTCCACGTCCACGTCCAAATCCACGTCCACGTCCACGTCCACGACCACGTCCTCGTCCTCCACGTCCACGTCCTCCACGTCCACGTCCTCGTCCACGTCCACGTCCACGTCCACGTCCACGTCCTCGTCCACGTCCACGTCCACGTCCATGTCCTAAGCCAGGTCCACGTCCACGTCCACGGCCACGTCTAGGGTCAACGTCCACGTCCACGTTCAAGTCCACGTCCACGTCCACGTCCACGTCTACGACAACGTCCACGTACACGTTCACGTCCACGTCGACGTCCACGTCCACGTCCACGTCCACGTTCTCCACGTCCAGGCCACGTCCACGTCCACGTCCACGTTCTCCACGTCCAGGCCACGTCCACGTCCACGTCCACGTCCACGTTCACGTCCACGACCACGTCCACGTCCACGTCTACGACCACGTCCACGTCCACGTCCACGACCACGTCCACGTCCACGTCCATGTCCACGACCACGTCCACGTCCACGACAACGTCCACGTCCACGTCCACGTCCACGTCCACGACCACGTCCACGTCCACGTCCACGACCACGTCCACGTCCACGACCACTTCCACGTCCACGTCCTCCACGTCCACGTCCTCCACGTCCTTGCCACGTCCTCCATGTCCACGTCCACGTCCAAGTCCACGTCCATGTTCACGTCCACGTCCACGACCACGACCACGTCCACGTCCACGTCCACGTCCACGACCACGTCCACGTCCACGTCCACGTCCAGGGCCATGTCCACGTCCACGTCCACGTTCACGTCCAAGTCCACATCAACGTCCACGTCCTCGTCCACGTCCACGACCACGACCACGTCCACGTCCACGTCCACGTCCACGTCCACGACCACGTCGACGTCCACCTCCACGTCCACGTCGACGTCGACGTCCACGTCCACGTCCTCCACGTCCATGTCCACGTCCTCCACGTCCATGTCCACGTCCACGTCCACGACCACGTCCACGTCCACGACCACGTCCACGTCCACGTCCACGTCTACATCCACGTCCAAGTCCACGACCACGTCCACGTCCACGTCTACGACCACGTCCACGTCCACGACCACTTCCACGTCCACGTCCACGTCCACGTCCTCCACGTCCACGTCCTCCACGTCCACGTCCAAGTCCACGTCCACGTCCACATCCACGACCACGTCCACGTCCACGTCCACGTCCACGTCCACGTCCACGTCCACGACCACGTCCACGTCTACATCCACTTCCACGACCACGTCCACGTCCACGTCCACGTCCACGTACACGTCCACGTCCACGTCCACGTCCACGTCTACGTCCAAGTCCATGTTCTCCACGTCCAGGCCACGTCCACGCCCACGTCCACGTCCACGTCCACGTCCACGTTCTCCACGTCCACGTCCACGTCCACGTTCTCCACGTCCAGGCCACGTCCACATCCACGTCCACGTCCACGACCACGTCCACGTCCACGTCCACGTCTACGACCACGTTCACGTCCACGTCCACGTCCACGTCCACGTCCTCCACGTCCACGTCCACGTTCACGTCCTCGTCCACGTCCACGTCCAAGTCTACGTCCACGTCCACGTCCACGTCCACGACCACGTCAACGTCCACGTCCACGTCCACGTCCACGTCCACGTCCACGTCCACGTCCACGTCCAGGTCCACGTCCACGTCCACGTCCACGTCCACGACCACGTCCACGTCTACGACCACGTCCACGTCCACGTCCATGTCCACGTCCACGTCCACGACCACGTCCACGTCCACGACCACGTCCACGTCCACGTCTACGACCACGTCCACGTCCACGACCACTTCCACGTCCACGTCCACGTCCACGTCCTCCACGTCCACGTCCTCCACGTCCACGTCCAAGTCCACGTCCACGTCCACATCCACGACCACGTCCACGTCCACGTCCACGTCCACGTCCACGTCCACGTCCACGTCCACGACCACGTCCACGTCCACATCCACTTCCACGACCACGTCCACGTCCACGTCCACGTCCACGTCCACGTACACGTCCACGTCCACGTCCACGTCCACGTCCAAGTCCATGTTCTCCACGTCCAGGCCACGTCCACGCCCACGTCCACGTCCACGTCCACGTCCACGTTCTCCACGTCCACGTCCACGTCCACGTTCTCCACGTCCAGGCCACGTCCACATCCACGTCCACGTCCACGACCACGTCCACGTCCACGTCCACGTCTACGACCACGTTCACGTCCACGTCCACGTCCACGTCCACGTCCTCCACGTCCACGTCCACGTTCACGTCCTCGTCCACGTCCACGTCCAAGTCTACGTCCACGTCCACGTCCACGTCCACGACCACGTCAACGTCCACGTCCACGTCCACGACCACGTCCACGTCCACGTCCACGTCCAGGTCCACGTCCACGTCCACGTCCACGTCCACGACCACGTCCACGTCTACGACCACGTCCACGTCCACGACCACGTCCACGTCCACGTCCACGTCCACGTCCTCCACGTCCACGTCACGTCCCACGTCCACGTCCTCCACGTCCACGTCCACGTCCACCTCCACGTCCAAGTCCACGTCCACGTCCACGTCTGCGTCCACGACCACGTCCACGTCCACGTCCACGTCCACGTCCACGACCACGTCCATGTCCACGTCCACGTCCACGGCCAGGTCCACGTCCACGTCCAGGGCCAGGTCAACGTCCACGTCCACGTCCACGTCCACGTCCACGTCCAAGTCCACGTCCTCGTCCACGTCCACGTCCTCGACCACGACCACGTCCATCTCCACGTCCACGGCCACGTCCACGTCCACGTCCACGTCCACGTCCAGGGCCAGGTCCACGTCCACGTCCACGTCCAAGTCCACGTCCACGTCCACGTCCACGTCCACGTCCACGTGCACGACCACGTCCACGTTCAAGTCCAAGTCCCCGTCCACGTCCACATCCAAGTCCACGTCCACGTCCACGTCCAAGTCCACGTCCACGTCCACGTCCACGTCCACGACCACGTCCACGTCCTCCACGTCCACGTCCTCCACGTCCACGTCCACGTCCACGACCACGTCCACGTCCTCCACGTCCACGTCCTCCACGTCCACGTCCACGTCCACGTCCACGTCCACGTCCACATCCACGTCCACGACCATGTCCACATCCACGTCCAAGTCCACGTCCACGTCCACGTCCAAGTCCACGTCCACGTCCACGTCCATGTCCATGTCCACGTCCATGTCCACGTCCACGTCCACGTCCAGGTCCACGTCGACGTCCACGGTCCACGTCCACGTCCACGTCCATGGCCACGTCCACGTCCACGTCCAAGTCCACGTCCACGTCCACGTCCATGTCCACGCGACCACGTCTACGTCCACGTCCACGTCCACGTCCAGGTCCACGTCCAGGTCCACGTCCACGTCCACGACCACGACCACGACCACGTCCACGACCACGTCCTTGTCCACGTCCATGTCCACGTCCACGTCCACGTCCACGTCCACGACCACGTCCACGTCCACGTCCACGTCCACGACCACGTCCACGTCCACGTCCACGTCCACGTGCACGACCACGTCCACGTTCAAGTCCAAGTCCCCGTCCACGTCCACGTCCAAGTCCATGTCCACGTCCACGTCCACGTCCAAGTCCACGTCCACGTCCACGACCACGTCCACGTCCTCCACGACCACGTCCTCCACGTCCACGTCCACCACCACGTCCACGTCCTCCACGTCCACGTCCACGTCCACATCCACGTCCACGACCATGCCCACGTCCACGTCCAAGTCCAAGTCCACGTCCACGTCCACGTCCATGTCCACGTCCACGTCCACGTCCATGTCCACGTCCACGTCCAGGTCCACGTCGACGTCCACGGTCCACGTCCACGTCCACGTCCACGTCCACGTCCACGGCCACGTCCACGTCCACGTCCAAGTCCACGTCCACGTCCACGTCCAAGTCCACGCGACCACGTCTACGTCCACGTCCACGTCCACGTCCAGGTCCACGTCCAGGTCCACGTCCACGTCCACGACCACGACCACGACCACGTCCACGACCACGTCCTCGTCCACGTCCACGTCCACGTCCACGTCCATGGCGACGTCCACGTCCACGTCCAAGTCCACGTCCACGTCCAAGTCCCTGCCACCACGTCTACGTCCAAGTCCGCGTCCACGTCCACGTCCGCGTCCACGTCCACGTCCCCGTCCGCGTCCCCGTCCGCGTCCACGTCCACGTCCACGTCCGCGTCCACGTCCACGTCCACGTCCGCGTCCACGTCAACGTCCGCGTCCACGTCCACGTCCGCGTCCCCGTCCGCGTCCACGTCCACGACCACGTCTACGTCCACGTCCACGTCCTCCACGTCCACGTCAACGTCCTCCACGTCCACGTCCACGACCACGACCACGTCCACGTCCACGTCCACGTCCACGTCCACGTCCACGTCCTCGTCCACGTCCACGTCCAAGTCCACGTCCACGTCCACGTCCACGTCCACGTCCACGACCACGTCCACGTCCACGTCCACGACCACGTCCACGTCCACGTCCACGTCCACGGCCACGTCCACGTCCAGGTCCACGTCCACGTCCAAGTCCACGTCCACGTCCACGTCCACGTCCACGTCCCTGTCCACGTCCTCGTCCACGTCCACGACCACGTCCACGTCCACGTCCACGTCCACGACCACGTCGACGTCCACGTCCACGTCCTCCACGTCCACGTCCACGTCCTCCACGTCCACGTCCACGACCACGTCCACGTCCACGTCCACGTCCAGGTCCACGTCCACGTCCACGTCCACGTCCACGTCCAGGTCCACGTCCACGTCCAGGTCCACGTCCACGTCCACGACCACGTCCACGACCACGTCCATGACCACGTCCTCGTCCACGTCCACGTCCACGTCCACGTCCACGACCACGTCCACGTCCACGTCCACGTCCACGACCACGTCCACGTCCACGTCCACGTCCTCGTCCACGATCACGTCCACGTCCACGTCCACGTCCACGTCCACGACCACGTCCACGTCCACGTCCACGTCCTCGTCCACGATCACGTCCACGTCCACGTCCACGTCCACGGCCACGTCCACGTCCATGTCCACGTCCACGGCCACGTCCACGTCTACGTCCACGTCCACGTCCAAGTCCACGTCCACGTCCACGTCCACGTCCCTGTCCACGTCCTCGTCCACGTCCACGACCACGTCCACGTCCACGTCCACGTCCACGACCACGTCTACGTCCCCGTCCACGTCCTCCACGTCCACGTCAACGTCCTCCACGTCCACGACCACGACCACGTCCACGTCCACGTCCACGTCCACGTCCACGTCCTCGTCCACGTCCACGTCCAAGTCCACGTCCACGTCCACGTCCACGTCCACGACCACGTCCACGTCCACGTCCACGTCCACGTCCACGACCACGTCCACGTCCACGTCCCCGTCCACGGCCACGTCCAGGTCCACGTCCACGTCCAAGTCCACGTCCACGTCCACGTCCACGTCCACGTCCACGTCCCCGTCCAAGTCCTCGTCCATGTCCACGACCACGTCCACGTCCACGTCCACGTCCACGACCACGTCTACGTCCACGTCGACGTCCTCCACGTCCACGTCAACGTCCTCCACGTCCACGTCCACGTCCACGACCACGTCCACGTCCACATCCACGTCCAGGTCCAGGTCCACGTCCACGTCCACGTCCACGTCCACGTCCACGTCCACGGCCACGTCCACGTCCACGTCCAAGTCCACGTCCACGTCCATGTCCAAGTCCACGCGACCACGTCTACGTCCACGTCCACGTCCACGTCCAGGTCCACGTCCACGTCCACGACCACGTCCACGACCACGTCCATGACCACGTCCTCGTCCACGTCCACGTCCACGTCCACGTCCACGACCACGTCCACGTCCACGTCCACGTCTACATCCACGTCCACGTCCACGACCACGTCCACGTCCACGTCTACGACCACGTCCACGTCCACGACCACTTCCACGTCCACGTCCACGTCCACGTCCTCCACGTCCACGTCCTCCACGTCCACGTCCAAGTCCACGTCCACGTCCACATCCACGACCACGTCCACGTCCACGTCCACGTCCACGTCCACGTCCACGTCCACGTCCACGACCACGTCCACGTCCACATCCACTTCCACGACCACGTCCACGTCCACGTCCACGTCCACGTCCACGTACACGTCCACGTCCACGTCCACGTCCACGTCCAAGTCCATGTTCTCCACGTCCAGGCCACGTCCACGCCCACGTCCACGTCCACGTCCACGTCCACGTTCTCCACGTCTACGTCCACGTCCACGTTCTCCACGTCCAGGCCACGTCCACATCCACGTCCACGTCCACGACCACGTCCACGTCCACGTCCACGTCTACGACCACGTTCACGTCCACGTCCACGTCCACGTCCACGTCCTCCACGTCCACGTCCACGTTCACGTCCTCGTCCACGTCCACGTCCAAGTCTACGTCCACGTCCACGTCCACGTCCACGACCACGTCAACGTCCACGTCCACGTCCACGTCCACGACCACGTCCACGTCCACGTCCACGTCCAGGTTCACGTCCACGTCCACGTCCACGTCCACGACCACGTCCACGTCTACGACCACGTCCACGTCCACGACCACGTCCACGTCCACGTCCACGTCCACGTCCTCCACGTCCACGTCCTCCACGTCCACGTCCTCCACGTCCACGTCCACGTCCACCTCCACGTCCAAGTCCACGTCCACGTCCACGTCTGCGTCCACGACCACGTCCACGTCCACGTCCACGTCCACGTCCACGACCACGTCCATGTCCACGTCCACGTCCACGGCCAGGTCCACGTCCACGTCCAGGGCCAGGTCCACGTCCACGTCCACGTCCACGTCCACGTCCACTCCAAGTCCACGTCCTCGTCCACGTCCACGTCCTCGACCACGACCACGTCCATCTCCACGTCCACGGCCACGTCCACGTCCACGTCCACGTCCACGTCCACGTCCAGGGCCAGGTCCACGTCCACGTCCACGTCCAAGTCCACGTCCACGTCCACGTCCACGTCCACGTCCACGTGCACGACCACGTCCACGTTCAAGTCCAAGTCCCTGTCCACGTCCACATCCAAGTCCACGTCCACGTCCACGTCCAAGTCCACGTCCACGTCCACGTCCACGTCCACGACCACGTCCACGTCCTCCACGTCCACGTCCTCCACGTCCACGTCCACGTCCACGACCACGTCCACGTCCTCCACGTCCACGTCCTCCACGTCCACGTCCACGTCCACGTCCACGTCCACATCCACGTCCACGACCATGTCCACATCCACGTCCAAGTCCACGTCCACGTCCACGTCCAAGTCCACGTCCACGTCCACGTCCATGTCCATGTCCACGTCCACGTCCATGTCCACGTCCACGTCCACGTCCAGGTCCACGTCGACGTCCACGGTCCACGTCCACGTCCACGTCCACGGCCACGTCCACGTCCAAGTCCACGTCCACGTCCACGTCCATGTCCACGCGACCACGTCTACGTCCACGTCCACGTCCACGTCCAGTCCACGTCCAGGTCCACGTCCACGTCCACGTCCACGACCACGACCACGTCCACGACCACGTCCTTGTCCACGTCCACGTCCACGTCCACTGTCCGCACACGTCCACGTCCACGTCCACGTCCACGTCCACGTCCACGTCCACGACCACGTCCACGTCCACGTCCACGTCCACGTGCACGACCACGTCCACGTTCAAGTCCAAGTCCCCGTCCACGTCCACGTCCAGTCCATGTCCACGTCCACGTCCACGTCCACGTCCACGTCCACGTCCACGACCACGTCCACGTCCTCCACGACCACGTCCTCCACGTCCACGTCCACCACCACGTCCACGTCC